CATTACTAACTCAGCACCACGACAAAGATCCGAGTGACGCTGACGAATGACGTAAGCCAAGGAGATGGAGACGGAGATGGCAATACTGCGGGAAAGCCGTTTCCGCATTCGCTCGGAGCTTGTTGTTCCCTGGTAACACTGCCTCGGGCGCAGGAACGGCGACCAGGAAACACGTGTGCGCTCGCCCGCCCCGCTGGGAGAAAAAGGGGGGGTGGGGGGGGGGGGGTGGCATTGTGTGGGTGGGTACGTATTAGGAGTGTGTGGTGGTAATAGTATTGTGCGTTGCGTGGTGTTGCGGGTGTGTGTGTGTGGTGTGGTGAGTGCTTAAGTTGTGTGTGCGTGTGTGTGTATGTATATATGTGTGTGCGTTGTGTGTGTAATGAGAGAGAGAGAGAGAGAGAGAAAGAGAGAAAGAGAAAGAGAAAGAGAGTTGAAGTGAGGGTGTGGAGTATGTATTACTTGATATGCGCATGTATAGTAATGTGATTATGGGTGGGGGGGGGGGATTGCATGTTGCATGTGCAATGTCTGCTTCCACAAGGCAAATGTCCCAGAGAGATTTATGCCGGGAAGCCCGTCGGGAATCAGCCTCTCCGTGGCTCAGTGGCGCGGCCGAAGGAGCCCCGAGGGCGCGTCGGTGGCACTCCAGCCCCGCAGCGTCCGCGTGTGCCGTCCGAGGCGTCGCGGCGGACAGGACCTGCTGGAGGACGGGGCTCTCGGGCCTGTGCGACGGCGTGAGGAAGGGCGTGAGTGCGGCGCCGACCTTCCCGGGGCGGCCTTTGGAGGGGACTAATTGAAAGGCAAAAATTGGGAGGGAATTGGCTCGTGGGTTGTGCGGCGGGGGGAGGATGCGGCTCTCGGGTCGGGTTGCTCTTTGTCGTCTGTTCTGTTCCTCTTCCTCGGGCGTATCTTTATCTTTTTTCTTTTTTCTCTCTTTTTCGTCATTTCTACGTGCGTATCGTTATTTTTTTCTACTCTCTCGTCATTTCTACTTCTGTGCGTATCTTTATATTTTTTCTTTTTTTCTCTCTTTTTCGTCATTTCTGCTTCTTCTTTTCTTTCGCGATTCCCCCTTATCTCTATTCACACTTTTATCTCCTTCTCTTTATCTGTTTGTCTCCCCTTCTCTCTCTTTCCCCTTATTGCGAGTCCCTTCAGGTCCCCCGTTCGCCCGTGACAGGCAAGGGTGTCGAGAGAATTTCCCTCGTCGCCGTCACGGATGTTCTCGTCCTTCGTTCGCCGATATATACGTTCGTTAAATTAAAACGTACGGTATATATCTGTGGATTATATTACCGTACGTTTATGTTTTTTAGAGAAAATGTCTTTTGCGTTTTTTTTTTTTATGCTTCACTCGCGCGCCACTCGTCCTTCGTTCGTCGCCGCTGTGGATGTATACCGTACGTTTATGTATTTTAGAGAAAATTTAATTTATTTTGCGTTTTTTTTTTTTTTTTTTGCTCACTCGCGGCCACGTCGCAAGGGTGGCGGTTTTGGAGGCACGGGATGGATCGGCCCATTAAGCGAACGGTCCGTGTTTGGATTATTTAATTGATTGTGCTTTGGGCCTCTCACTTGTCCCCTTTCACGGGTGGCCTATGGGGTGCGGGGGGCCACTGCGCCCTCCCTGGCTGTGCCGCTGGATCAGTTGTGGCGGACACGTGCACCCACATGCGCACATACAGATACACATGCGTTTGGTGCACCCTCTCTACCGTCGGTCGCTCTCTGGTCGGTTTTCTCTCTCTTCTCTCTCTCTTTCCTCTCTTTTCCTTTCTCTTTTCTTTCTCTCTCTCTCTTTCTCTTTCTCTTTCTCTTTCTCTTTCTCTTTCTCTTCTCTTCTCTCTCTCTCTCTCTCTCTTCTCTCTCTCTCTCTCTCTCTCTCTCTCCTCTCTTCTCTCTCTTCTCTCTCTCTCTCTCTCTCTCTCTCTCTTTGTTCCTCCTTACCTCCCTGTCTTTCTCCCAATCTTCCATCTCCTGCTTCTTCCTCCCTCTCCTTTCCCTTCCTTGTCCCTCTGTCCTTCCTTCGTCCTTTCCTACTACTACCCTCCTCTTGCTCTCTTTCTGTTGTGAATTTTTGAAGTGTTATTTTAAATTTGTATTACCTTAGTCAATTAGGTATATTTGGGGAGCTTTGGTTAGGTATTGGTGAGTTGGTTGGCTGGAAACCTCAAAAAGTTACGAACAGATTTTATGTGATATTTGTGCCAGAGGTGCGTCTTATCCGGGTTCTTTCTTCCTTTTTTGAGGACGCATTAGCATTGCGAATTATGGAAGCACGGACGCCAAAATTGGACTTGAGAAAGAGGTGATTCTGTTGTAATTCTTCGAGTGCGAATGTGTTTTTTGCATCCGTGATTGCCTGGCGGAGGTTGCCTCTGGGGAGGTATGCGCTCTCTCTCTTCTCTCTCTCTCTCTCTCTCTCTCTCTCTCTCTCTCTCTCCTCTCTCTCTCTCTCTCTCTCTCTCTCTCTCTCTCTTCTCTCTCTCTCCTCCTTCTCTCTCTCCCTCCTCTCTCTCTCTCCCTCTCTCTCTCTCTCCTCTCTCTCCTCCTCTCCCTCCCTCCCTCCCTCCTCTCCTCCCTCCTCTCCTTCCGTCTCTCTCTCTCAATCTCGAATTTTATCAAACGGAAAGTGAAAGCCGCTCTCCATTTTCATTCCTCGACGCAGCTGACCCCGAGGTGACCCGGCGGGCGCGTCCGAGTCCGCCTTTAGCGTGGGGGAAGCTGTGTAGTAAAACACGGACCTTGCACCGTAGGCTTGTGGAGAACGCCCTTGACCTTTCTTCTTCTTCTTCTTTGTCTTCCGCTTTTCTTCTTCTCTTTTATTCTTTTCTTTTATTCTTTTTTTACTTCTTTTTTATCTTCTTCTCTTTTTTTCTCTTTTCATTTTTTCGCCTCCATTTTCTCGTCTCTTCTATTTTGTTTTCATTTCGCTTCTCTTTTTTTTTTTTTTTCTTTTCTCTTCCGTGCTGTTTTATCTGCTCTTCTCTCCTCTCTCCCCTTTCTCTCTCCTCTCTTCTCTCTCTCTCTCTCTCTATCTATCTATCTAACTGTCTACCTTTCTCTCTTCTCTCTCTCTCTCTTCTCTCTCTCTCTCTCTCTCTCTCTCTCTCTCTCTCTCTCTCTCTCTCTCTCTCTCTCTCTCTCTCTCTCTCTCTATTTCTTTCTGTTTCATCCTTACTCTAGGTAGTACGGGAAGAAATAAAAGCTGTAGATCTTTTATCAAAAACTAACCAATAAACTTTCAGAATTTCTCCAGCTGACGTTATTTCGAATCGACGTGTCTCTCCCCGCTTCGTTATCTGCAATTGAGGCCCATTTTCTTATTCTCCTTTATTTTTTTATTATTATTTATTTACTTTGTAGGTGGGGAGGGACCGACGCTAACAAAAATCACAGACAGAAAGAATACGGAAGATTACAGAGCGGGGGCGCTGGCACGGGAACCTTCTGAGCTATTGGGTTTTTCATCTTTATTTTTTTTTTATTATATTTATTACTTTGTAGGTGGGAGGGGGTCGACGCAAACAAAAATCACAGACAGAAAGAATACGGAAAGATTACAGAGCGGGGGCTCGGTGGCAGGGGAACCCTCGGCAGCAATTTCAACGGGCCAGAATATGAACTTATCGCTCGTTCTGTTATTTTCCGGCGCTATTTCTAGCAAGACAAGGAATAGAATTGCACACTGCCCGCCCTTCCTCCCTCTCCTCTCTCTCTCCCTTCCCTCCCTTCCTCCCTCCCTCCCTCCTCTCCCTTCTCCTCTCTCCTCGCTCTCCCTCCTCCCGTCCACCCTTCCCTCCCTCACTCCGTAGGTACACCCTCCCTCACTTGCAAAGTGTCACTGTTGCGTAGAATGATTTGACAAAGTGTTCGTGTGACACAGTAGATAAATACGTACCTACACTATAGGTAGACTAACCCACATAGACAAGATGGTTCAGACAGATCGCTTGAAGGTTAGTTGGTATTGATGAACTTGCGTAAATGTGCAATATGTATGTACAGCTGCACATGTGGCATGGACACGCATCCCGCCCGTATTTCCTTTCACTCCCGGACCGGCGCGCGGCAGACGGAGGCGCAGGAGAAAGTGAGGCTCCTTATAGGAGATTTGCGGGCGGGCATGACGCAGTTGCGATGTTGAAGGGGGGGAAGGGGGAGGGGGAAGGATGGAGGGAAAGGGAGGGGGAAGGATGGGAGAGGGGGAAGGATGGAGGGAAAGAGAGGAAAAAGGAGGGGAGGAGGAGCAGTGGTTGGGGAAGAGGAAAGAAGGGAGAATTGGGAAGGGGAAGGGGGAGCAGGGAAGGATGGAGGGAAGAGAGGAGGGGGAAAAGGAGGGGAGGAGGAAGCAGTGGTTGGGGAAGGAGGAGAAGGAGAATTGGGAAAGGGGGAAGGGGGGAAGGGCGAAGGAGGCGAGGCAGGGAGAGGGAGAGTAGATTAGGGAGAGAAAGGGTGGATAGAGGGGGGGGAAGGGGGCCGAGGCATCACGAGGTGGGTCCGACCGGCGCTTCACTCTCACCTTCGAGGTCACGGTCGGAGGCCTCCCCCCCCCTTCGTCGCCCTCCCTTGGCACTTGGAACGCTCACGCCCCCGCGCCCGCCCCCGCCTGTCGCCACGCACGCCCGCGAGTGTTTCGCGCCGGCAGAGGCTCCCTCTCCTCGGCTCTTTTTCTTAGGTTCTCCTTCCGCTTATTCTGCTTCTTCTCTTTTCCTTCTCTTTCTCTACGCTTCGCTCTCGTTTTTCCAAACTATCTTCGGCTCTTCTTTTTTCCACCATCTTGTTTTTTCTTCCCCCTCCTCCTCCTCCTCCTCTAATCCTCTTCCTCCTCCCTCTTCTTTTTCTTCTGCTTCTTCTTCCTTCTTCTTTCTTCACCTTCTCTTCTTCTTCTTCTTCTTCTTTCTTTTTCTTCTTATTTTCCTTCTTCTTCCTTTTCTTCTTCTTCTTCTTCTTCTTCTTCTTCTTCTTCTTCTTCTTTCTTCTTCTTGCTTCTTCTTCTTCTTCTTCTTCTTCTTCTTCTTCTTCTTCTCTCTTCTTTCTTCATTCTTCTTCTTCCCTTCTTCCCTTTCTTCTCCTCCTCCGCCCCTCCCCCTTCCTCCTCCCATCTCATACCGCCAGCGATTGGCCCATTTGAGGCTGGGGGAAGGTGGTCGGGTCGGGACGCTGTCTTTGCCGCATGAGCCGCTCCTGTGCGCGCCCATAGGCGACTGCAGGGGAGGGGCGTGATATGTCACCTGGCGGTGATTGTTTACACCTCAGACCCTGAATTCAGTCTCGTAGGTGTCTTTTTTCTTGCTCTCGTGGTTAGTTGTTTTTTGGCCAGTTATTTGTTGTTCCGAAATGTACTATGTGCCTCCGTCTTCGTCTCCTCGATCGGCGGGTTGTGAAAGAAAAGTCAGGTAGTTGCTCGGGTGTGGCCGATGTGGTGTTGGTGGTGGGGTGATGCTGGGGCTGTGCAAGAGAGAACAAGTATCGGGTGGGCGAGGGCTAGGCGCGGGGGTGTGGCATGAGGCTGGGAAGCGTAAGGTGTCGAGAGAGCATACCCAAGTTATGGTGTAATGATGATGGTGAGGCTGGACATGAGAAGCTGTGCAAGTGTGCGTAATGATGATGGTGAGGCTGGGCATGAGAGCAACAAGTGTGTGATGATGACGGTGAGGCTGGGCGTGAGAGCGGCAACTGTGGTGGTGATGACGGTGTCTGTTAAGAAAGGGAGAGGGAAGGATGAAAGTAACGGTGGAAACGATTTATTACGTTTTATGAATGGACGAACCATACCTATTGAAGCATAAATGGCCGACTGACTATCATTGCAAGAGCATCGGGCCTTCAGCATTCTTTTTTTCCTATTATATAAGAGGCGACGGCCTTCCCTTCGCGCCCCCTCCTTCGGCGGGCGGGGAAGGGAGGGGGGGGGGGCATCTCGCCAGGGCAGTGACGCGGTGCCCGGTCGGTGGGCATTCGTCGCCGCCACCGACCACTTCCCCGTCGCCTATAGCTGTCCGATGGTGTGTGCAAGGAGGGCTCTGCGTGCCTGTCTGCTGCTGGCCGGGGACCCTGCCTGCCTCCGTCGGTTTCGTGCTGCGCCGTCTTTCTCTCTGCGTCTTCTCTTTGCTTCTTTCTGTCTCTTGCTTTCTTTCTTTCTTTCTCTTGCGGCCTTTCTTGTCTTTCCGCTCTGCCTGGTCTCTTTCGACTTAGCTTTCTTGCTCTCCGCGGTGGGTGCCTCTCTTGTCTTTCGTTTTTTGTGTCTCTTTATTACCGCTCGGATGGTTCGAGTGTCTGCTGTCATTCTCTCTTCTCTCTTTGCCTCCTCTCATTAGGTCTTTTCCACATATAACCTGTGTCTCTTATACTTCTTTGCCTTTCTTTGTCTTTCCCTGGCCTGTTGTCTCTTTCATTACGGCCTTTGTTTGGTTCGTGTTCGGCATGTGATCCTCTTTCTTACTTTCTTTGCCTCTCTTTGTCTTTCCCTTCCTGTGTCTCTATTACTCTTTTGGTTTGGTCTGTGTCTGGCTGTCTAGTATTTTCTCTCTCTTTCTTATTTTTTTCCCTTTCTGTGTCTCTTTATTACGCTCTTGGTTTGGTTCGTGTCTGGCTGTCTTTTTTCTCTCTCTTACTTTCTTTGCATCTTCTGATTGCTCTTTACCCACTTTCTGTCTCTCTCTATATCTACTCATACTCTTCTTGTAATCGGTATTGTAAATTCGAGTGCCAGCGTCACGATGAGAGACAGACAGCAGACGGATGTGTCGACAAGGAGTGGGTGCCATTACATCTCGTTTCCGACAGGCGTTGTGCCCATGTCGAGTCTTAATCTCTGGGATGGCTTGTTTGTCGCTTCTCTTTGGCGTTGTTTATGTGAAGGTAGGCCGTGGTTGATGCTGTGTTGGTTATTGTGTTGTTATATTCATCATGGTTGATGTCGTCGTCGTCACCTCCTCGTCGCCGTTGTCATCCATCAGTTAGTCCGTCAGTCAGTCAGTCAGTCAGTCAATCAGTCAGTCCGTCAAGTCAGTCCGCCAGTCAAATCAGTCAGTCGCACCAGTAACAATCAGTCAGTCCGACCAGTCAGAATGACAGTCGGCGTATATTGATGTTTACTAATGAAGAGAATAGTCATATCTATCAAATTCTGTTATCGAGGGCTTGGAATTCGGGATGTCTGCGTGAGAAGCAACACGTCCTGAAAGAAAACTTCAGTCACAAACATC